ATAACCAAAAAACAATAGCTCCGTGTTTGGATGCATGCATTTTATCCTACGAAATTGTGTTTTATCTCTCTTTTAAGAAAATTTCATAAAACACAGCTTGTTGATGCATGATGATAATGAGAATTTTAAATTTTAATCTTTTGAAAAAGAGCTGAAGATAAATTATTCTTACATTTTGAAATTCTGTTATTTCTGGAAATATGGGTAACCTTGAAGTTATAAAGTATGAACTATGAAGTTCCAAATCAAAGACACACACTGGAAAATATAATCTAAAGCTTACAAGCCATGTGCATATGACATAAAGAAATTAAATATTAAGCACATAAATAAAGGGATGTACCCCATGATGAAACACACCTGTCAACAGAGGAAACAAAATATGATGATGCACCCTAACTCTAGCAGCTTGTTTGGATTGACAAAAAAAATTGGATCAAGAATAATACATGAAATTCAGATAAAACAACATAAAATAGAAAATGCATGCTCTGTGCTAATAGATTATTTAGTGATAGTCACTACATATAAGAATGATGAATAAATATATATGTTTTAAACCCTAAATTCCTAAAAAGGATAAATAAATAAAATTATGAACATGGACATAAATTAAAGTACTCATAAATATAAAAGAATGATCAAATTATTCGGAAGAATCAAGGAATTGAACCTTCGATCTTTGTTGTTGATGCAAAATTATTCTATTTTTTTTTTACCTAGCAAGCTTGCTCTCCATAGTAATTATAATAAAAATCAATCAAGCAATGTAATAAAGTCTAGAACTTATATGAGAATCAATCAAGGCTATTTTAAGAAACCAAGTACAGAGCGGGTTAATAAATTTTATAGGGTAAAAACGGCCAAAAATCTCGCTCAATGAAGTAAACATAAAATCATCACTGGTTACACACTCGTCATAGCAACCAACAAGCACCATATATACATGTTGGGCAGAAACTGAAACGAATCAAAGATAATAGTCTAAGGACATGTTCAAACCAAAACAACAAAAGCGTCTTGACACAAAATCTTAACCCATGGCCCTAAATATGGACAAAATAAAAAAGAGCAATCAGATTATCATTAATCGAAGTCGAACTCCAAATCAATAATTTTAATAATGATAGGCCAGCAAATGCTCTTAAGCTCACGCATCCTATGGTTGAGCTCATCCACACTGGCCTTCATCCAATTCATCTCCCTCACCCACTGAATAATCGACACCGCCGCATCCTCCACCATCTTCTTATCGGCCGCCGCCAGCCCGGCTGCAGCACTGATTGTGTTCCTCATTTCATAAGCATAATCCTCGAGGCTGTTCCTAGCATTGACCCTCCTCCTGTAGTCATCATCCTCCCCCTGTGTCTCGCGGCATCCCACACTATCCTATCAATCTCCTCTTTCGACAACCTCCCTTCTTCATTGGTTATAGTGATCCCGTTTGTTCTGCCCGTCGACCTCTCTTTTGCCGATACACTGAGTATGCCGTTGGCGTCAATTTTGAAGCACACGTCCACATTTTGCACGTGCCTCGGGGCAGGTGGGATTCCCTTCAGTATGAACCGCCCGAGCAGGTTGTTGTCTGTTGACCTCGCCCGCTCGCCCTCGTAGACCGGGAAACTCAAAGTTGTCTGGTTATCCACACTCGTTGTGATTACATGCTCCTTCTGAGTGGGGATAATCGTGTTACGCGGGACCACAACACACATGACCTCCCCGACAATTTCCACTCCTAGGGAGAGAGGGGTCACATCGAGGAGGACGAGGTCCCGCACCTTGTCGTCCCCTATGCCACGTAGGACGGCTGCCTGCACGGCGGCACCGTACGCAACAGCCTCATCCGGGTTAATGCTCCTGCACAGCTCCTTTCCCTCGAAAATAAACTGCAGCATCTTCTGAACCTTGGGAATCCTGCTCGAGCCTCCAACCAGAACGACATCATGGATGGCAGCCTTCTCCACCCCAGCATCTCTCAGGCAGCTCTCTACAGGGTCGACGCATTTTTCGAACAGGTCCATGTTGAGATCCTCGAATTTAGCGCGGGTAATGCTAGAGTGGAAGTCAATTCCCTCGTGCAGACACTCAACGTCCACGTTGGTCTTAGTATTGGTCGAGAGAACCCTCTTCGCCCTCTCGCAAGCTGTCCTCAGCCTCCGTAGGGCCCGTGGGTTTTCGGAAAGGTCCTTGTTGTACTTGCGCTTGAACTCTTTGGCAAAGTGAGCAACAATGCGGTTGTCGAAATCCTCCCCGCCAAGGTGGGTGTCGCCAGCAGTGGCCCTCACCTCGAACGTACCCTTGTCGATCGTCAGGATAGAGACGTCACAGGTGCCACCACCTAAGTCGAAGACCAACACATTCTTCTTCTCTCCTTTGTAGTTGAGGCCATAGGCAATGGCGGCAGCAGTGGGCTCATTGATGATGCGGATGACATTGAGGCGGGCAATGGCACCGGCATCCTTGGTGGCCTGTCTTTGAGAGTTGCTAAAGTAGGCCGGGATGGTGATGACGGCATCCCGGACATGGGTGGGGCCCAGATAGGAGTCGGCAATGGCAGCCATCTTGGTGAGGACCATGGAAGATATCTCCTCAGGGGGGAACTGCTTCTCCTCGCCATTGTGGGAGACCACAATCATGGGCTTGTCCGTGGGGCCCGAGACAACCTTGAAAGGCCACAGCTTTATGTCAGCCTGCACAGAGGCGTCACTGTATCGTCTCCCGATCAGACGCTTCGCATCTGCATCACCCAACAAGGTTACGGGAGTGAGTTTAATAACCCGGCATAGTAGGTTACCAATATCAACATGTGTCTGTACTGGATTTATGAAGAGGAGGTTTATGGTAACTTTTCAATCTTTTCTAATAGCTGTAGTTATTTAATTATTCTTCTCCTAGTGTTAATGCCTTTGTCCGGAGGCCTCGAAGCGGTTATTCTTTTCCCTTCCTCTCTTCTCTGAAGTCTGAAGTCTACAACAAACTGACAAAGTGGGGAAAAATAAAACAAAAGAAAAATTGGGGAAAAAAGCTGCTCACCAAAGACTGTATTTGTGGGATTCATGCCTGCCTGGTTAATGGCGGCTTCGCCTATGAAACGCTCCCCATCGGCGAAAGCGACATAGGAGGGCGTGGTGCGATTACCTTGATCATTGGCTATGATCTCGACGCGGTCGTGCTGCCACACGCCCACGCATGAGTAAGTGGTCCCCAAATCAATCCCGATTGCAGGCCCCTTGCCTTTTGCTGCCATTACTAAATGAACAAAGTGAAGGAAAACTTGAGTAAATAATCACAATCAAACTGGTAAGGTAATCGGCTCTCGCCTCTTGTATAGTTGGTTCATGGATAAGTATTCAAGTATCAAATCCGTACACAGCAGTATTATACGGGCGGATACGGCGGCCCTGTAGAGTGGGTCTCTTTGGGTAAGGGGGCAGTTAAATCTAAGCCCTTGGATTAAATATAATTTAGCATACATCTAAGGGTTAAAAATAAGAACTAACTTGTATCTGTATTCTTTTGTGTGTGTATCTGTCGTGTCATTCAAGGGTTAAAAATAGAAAATAACCTTTCAAACCCATTCTCTTCGGTCATCACCTCACGAAATTCAAGAGCACAATTAATTTATTCTAATTGGAAACTTAAAATATTATTCCATCCAAACCTCAATAATTATTTTACCTGTTTTTAAGAGTTTTTTTAGACCACTAAATTTCACTACCCTGGTTAAAATTTAAGCGTTTATTAACCTCAAGAATTATTTTACCTGTTTTTAATATTTTTTACTATTATAACTAAAAATTTTAATTTGTCCTCCTCTTAAATTATTTTTTGCACCCTCACATTTTTTGTTTTTAAACGTCACTCACAAGTAGTGATGTAAACGAACAGAGCTTAGGCTGCTCGAGCTCGTGTTTGTTTACGTTCGAACAGTGTTTCTGTTCGTTCGTTTATTTTTCGAGCAAAAAATCGTGCTCGAGTTCGTTCGTTTAATTGTTCGTCAAGGTTCGAGTTCGCGTGGCACCCTTATGCACACACCATGTAATAGTGGATAATGCCGCTAAACATGTTCCTATGATAAAAGAATATAAAATACCTCAATTGCCCTTCTTGAGGAGATGACAGGTAACCTTCTAGTGTCCAGACTTCGTGCAGCGATGGCACTTGCCTTTCGGTTTCTTCGAACCTCCCTACGCGACTTCTATAATAGCCACGGGCCCAGACGCCACCTTGGCCTTCCCAGCAGGCTTTCTCTTCCTCTTGGACTTTACGGACCTAGAGGTAAATGGACCAGCCCCTTCGGCCAGTAACGCCTATGAGTTCTGACGAAACAACCTTTCATCAGCCTGGAGCTTGCCAAAAAGTTCCACGAGCGAGAACGACACTTGTTCATGCTATAGTTCGACACTTGTTCATGTTGTAGTTCAACCGAAACTGCTCAAAGCTCTTGAGCAACGACTAGAGCATTATATTAACCTAGGTTTCCCTGTCAATATCAAACTCATGGATCAGCTTAAAGACATGATCCCTCACGGGAGTGCTCTAAGCCTGGACGCGTTCATCAGAACTCTCATAGTCTCATGTCTGGCAGCCCTAGATTGATGCCCAAAGAGCTCCTTGAGATTGAGGAGCATGTCATAGGTGGAACCCATGGTCTGATGTTGATGCTGAAGCACATTTGACATAGAAACCATAATGTAACAACGTGCCATCTCATCAGCCTTTTTTCCCATTACAATACCTCTCTGTCTCCTGCTCAATGGACGCTTCAGTGGGTACTTCCGGACAGTTCTCAGTGAGTACGAATTTGTACCCTTCTGCATTCAGGACAATGTCTAAGTTACTCCTCCAATCAATAATAATTGGGACCAGTAAGTTGATTTTCTTTTAGAATGACAGAAAGCAGATTGAAAGACATGTTGAATGAAGCTTGAGAATCACGAAAATATTTTATTAATTAAACACAATTCAAATTTAAACTTTAACATTGATATCCTCAAACAATATTAATTAAAATTCACCAACCTGTTGTTGAGAGACCGTGCATGCCGAGAGAACTGTTGCGGAGAGACCTGTTATTTAGAGACCTGCTTCCGAGAGTTGCTTCCGAGAGACTTGTTGTAGAGAGACCTGTTGTCAAAAGACCCATGCGTACTGAGAGACCTGCTGTCGATTGTAAGAAATTATTTTTTAAAAAGAATAGATAAACATAAAATTGTGAACCATTATAATATAAATATCATGATTAAAATGGAATTATATAAAAATAATACAATAGTAGTTGATAGGTATAAATATTATTTAATTTTTACTTTTCAAATGTATTAGTGAAAACCAAAAACAAAAAGAGATGAAATTGATTTATATTTTTTCAGTTCATATTTTATAAAATAAAACATCAATCTCTAGTCCCCATTTTGTTTGTTTCCTTATAAGGCAAATGTGGTTTTGTGTTTCTCTCTATCTTCTTTGTAGAAGTGTATTAAGCTACTTAGCTCCCGAACATTGTATATATTTTTCATTGCTAAGTTATACCTTCTATCATTTNAAAAAAAAAAAAAAAAAAGCAAAATCTATTATATTCGCAAAATTAAAGTCGGAGCATTGTTCAATCTAATTGCCCTCACCCGAATGACGTGTAAGTTGTAACTCCGGATCTCATACCGACATTTTCCAGAAACCTATTTTCGAGAGACCTGTTGCCGAGAGACCTGTTTTCGAGAGACCTATTTCCTAGAGACATGTTGTCGAGAGACCTGTTGCTGATAGATCCATGCGTGTCGAGAGACCTATTGCCGAGAGACCTGTTTCTGAGAGACCTGTTGTCGAGAGACCTGTTGTCGAGATATATGTTGCCGAGAGACCTGTTTACGAGACACCTTTTGCCGAGAGACCTGTTTTCCAAGGGACCTGTTTCCGAGAGACCTTAACCAATATATATCCCTACCTATAGTCAGGCCACGAGACGGCGGCTATTTTCTATGTGGAATGAGCAGAACCAAGAAGAAGAAGCCTGTGAACGCTGGTTCGTATCGGTCCTAAAATATAAAGCAGAGGAAATGGCATATGAAGCGTGGTAGGCCCATATGAAGCCTGGAGGGATCTGCAACCTTAGTAAGAATCAGAGATCGTCAAGCCCAGTCAGACAAGGAAGACTGGTAGGGATCAAAGAGACTGCTAGGCATGGAGCCTTTAGTCAGATACCAGTGCTGCCTCTTGGATATCACCAGTCGGACTTGTTCCACAGACCGCCACATAGATGTAAGGCATGGGTTCGGCCGAGAGACCTGTTGCCGAGAGACCCTTGCGTGCCGAGAGACCTGTTTCCGAAAGACCTGTTTTCGATATATTATATATATAGTGTATGCATATATAGTATAATATATAAATCTGAATATATATTAAATATTAAATAAAATAACTTGTATGGTATTAAAATAAAATAAATAAAATGAACAAACACAAAAACTAGAGATCCAAAACTTTATAAGGCCCTGATCGAAATGTGTTAAATGTTACCTTTTAAAATAAAAAATAACTAAATTTTTATAAATAAAATTTGAGAAATTTCTTAAGAATCACAAATGAAAAGAAAAAGGCACTAAAATTTTAAATAAAAATAGCTAATTTTTTATAAATAAAATTTGACAAATTTATTAAGATCAAAAATGAAAAGTAAGGGGAAAATATTTTTCATTCAAAGAAAAAAACAAGCAATCAAGGCTCATTTACTTAAATATATAACTTAATTATAGTGGGGTACATAATACTAAGTTGTAATTATAGATATTTTTCCATTGAAGACTACTAATTTTTATTTTATATTAAACAAAATTAAATAACAAATATAATTTGAATCTCGTCTGAAAAAATCGAAAAGTATTAGCTTTTATTTTATATTTAACAATACTAAATAACAAATATAAATTGAAGCTCGTCTGAAAATGAGTTGACTTCACTAAACTCTTTTATTGACTAACACTAACATAATTGAATAGTGTAATCATAAAATAACATTGATATTTTGTATATTGAAACTAAAAGAGAAAATTAACAAAGCATTAAAAGAGTAATAAAAAATATATAAAAATTTATTAATTTCACTAATAATAACTACTATTTATTTTTTTTTATGAAATTTATAAGGTGGATAAAATATGAAAAATATTGTGTAAAAAATAATAAATTAAGATTTAAAATTTATTTTGTATTAAATATATATTCTATTATATAATTAATATAAATACATATGTTAAAAAGATCTATAAAAGTGGGACCTGGGGTAACAGGGGGCCTAGGCGGTCACCCGACCCGCCCTACCTTAGGGCCGACCTTGAGGAAAACGAACTTGTCCAACAATTCGAACAGTTCACGAACAAGTTCGACTATATAAACGAACCAACACAAACTTGTCGAATCAATAAACAAACGAACATAAACGAAATTTTTTGTTCGAATATTAAACGAACGAACACAAACATGTTCGAAAATTAGTCGAACTCGAGCTCGAAAACCTTAAGCTCGAATCAGTTCAATTTGTTAACAGCCCTAGTCTCGATGCTTGTATGGACATCCAATACCCATCCATTTCTTCAGAAAATACATCCAATATGCTATAATTTCTCGTTGTTTTTATAGTCTTCATAGCCTTCAACAAACTCTTGTATTAAAGAGGTCTGGGAGCCGACCAAACCATTATATAAAATCTCCGTTGCAGGCACTTTAATTCGTCGATAGTCACATCTTCGTCCTTCTTCTCCCTTTATTTTTTTTATTAAACCATATAAAAAAACTTTAATTGCACTTTAAATAACACACCATCGTTTCGGTGGTCAAGTTGAAAAAAATTAAACGTCAACACTTTCCACTGCCATTATTATATATCATAAATCTTAAACTATAGACCGTCCTCTATACAATTAATTTTTAATAACATCAGTCTTAGAATAAATATTAAAGTCATAAACCAACCTCTATTCAAATACTTTTTAATCCCACCAATCTCAACAATTTCTTCATTTTCTTATTTTTTTTTCTTTTTGGTACAAAGGGAGATTATAGTTCACGAGCGACTAGAGACAAATGTTCTGTGGGCAAGAGGCACCTCGAACATCATACTCAAGCCACAGGACAACAGCGGACGGAGGTTCTGGAAGCCGATAGCACCCGAGAGAGACCGAAGCCGCATACAACGCTAGATAGTACGCATCAAAGTTTGCCTCACGAAAGATATGAGAAATCTTCATCTTCCAATCTCGACTTAAGAGCTCACGAATCCCTATTACCAAGTCTGAATGAACCTCCTCTATATTATTTGCGAACCCTACAACAATAGAATTGTCGACGTCAACCTCAACCCGTCGGTATCCCAAACTCCAAGCTAAACTCAGGCCCTGGAATAATCTCCATAACAAAAGTTCTCACTTTTTGTTAGTGTGTGTATATACACATACAAATTTATGATAAAAAAAAAAAAGAAAAGAAAAAAATTAGCTTTGATTCTTCTTCATCCAAAAGAAGTGTGCTTGTTGGTCGCCACCATGCACGGTTGGCCCAAAGGGAGTCGATGAAGAGAAGGGACTAGTGTGGCATACAATTGTAATTTTGAAGCCATTGAATATTAATTTCAGTAAAAAATATTTAAACTGGGGTAAGTTGACCATTTTTTTCTCTATCAGTGGCAGATGACAAATAGAAACAACCATTCCTTCCAATAATGATAGGATGAAGTTATCCCATGAACCCATAATATACTTGGACATAATCAGGACCGGAGAGATAACATGAGGGCCAAAATCAATGTATCCGAACAATGAATAGTCATATGATTAACTAGGATATCCAGTTTTATCCTTGAAAACAAATAAGGCACAAGACTAAAACTTAGGATAAATGATGTCCTAAAGCCTCCTTTGTTTTAAATGATATGATTGGAATAAATTATACTTCATGAGTACATTGTACTATACGGATTAAATTAGATCAGTATTTGTTATTCGTGATTGGTAGCCTGGACAAGAAATTGATTCACTCACCTTCACATTTGTTTTTACTGGTAACTCTTTGAATAAAATGCACAGCGATTTTCGTCACCATCTCCTCAAAAGATGAGGATGACAAAAAATCTCAAACCATTGTTGCTTCTTCTCCGTTTTTCTTTTCTAAATTTTCTTCCCCATAAATAGTTCATACAAGAATAATGGTTGGTGTTCNNNNCCAAAAAAAAAAAAAAAAAACTCTTTCCCCTACAAACTTGAAGCCTTGGATTCAAGTTTCACAATTTCCCCAAATTTCACTCACAATTCACAACCCCAATTTACTCGTAAGCCTCCTCAGAACCGCATCTGCCATTACCCGTCTCACCCCAAAGTAGTAGCTCTATCAAACCTTCAGACCGCCATCATTTCCCTTCGTTCCCCACTACTGCAACCTCGACAAGTAGCCCGCCACTTACCCAACTCATACCTTCTCCACACTAGATGACTTCATCGGGATCCCACTCATGGTGTAGAGCCGTCTGGTGGTCGTCGCTTATTGGAAATGTTGTATAAACTGAATTAACCCACTTATGAAGCATTAATTATCATATATGCACGGGACAGAATCACGAGTAATCACGGGCCAAATGATATCACGTGGGCTTTAATCAAAGAAACCAAACACTTGATAACAGAATGATATCCATTGCTTATCCTATCTAATCCTCCCAAACAACCTATCTAATCCTCCCAAACAAACATGGCCTAAGACTATATCCAAAGACATTAGGCAAGCTTACATCAAGCAGAAAGTAGAAGTAACCATTTGATAGAACTATTTGTTGCTGTCACGAACGGTTATAAAGCGAATAAACATTGTATCAAGATTCAATTGAACTTCAGGTTTTACACATAATCTGACCAACATTAGAATAAGCACTGGATCAAGATTCAATTGAACTTAAGCTTTTATACAAAATCTGACCAAAATCTGACCAGTACGAGCTCATTCAATCCCACCAGACAAGCTCAACACATACGGCACAAGATAAGTAGGAAAAACAGAGAGCCTATTAACCAGCCATTTTCATTCGCATGCACCCAATTTTAACAAAATTAGTCACTAACACATGTCTAATGAACCCTAGGTAGCTCCATCCAAGCTTTAACGAAACTAGTTTTTCAACCAATTTTGTCAAAATCACCATGGCCCTAGGAAGGCCTGGCAACATAATAGCCATCCAGTTTGCAATTGCTACTCTTAAATGTGATGACTATTCCCAAGAAATCATATCCTTATAAAACATAATTTGAAAATGAGTCACCCAACCAAACAAACAAGTGGCACTTGATTCAAGCCAAGCCAAGCCAAGCAAAACAGGAAAACAACATTTTTTACATAAGAGATTCACCCAACACACTTATGACAGAGTGAATTGATTCACTGAAAGGTAAGTGACAACATGGTTGGATACTTTTTGGGCCAAGTTGTTCATAGTAAATTGATTCAATCTATATGGCTAATCAATTGAATTCAGATGCGACTTAGACTAAGCCTTCAACTCAATTACACCAATCCTACATCTATAGCCATCCCAGTCTGGGAAGAAGAAAGGAATGGTTTCAAATAGTCCCTATCCAAGTCAAAGCACGAACGAGACAGTTTAGATTCATTGGGTGATACTGAAAGACGGTCATCTAATAAGGTAGGTGTAAGCCTTGAAAGCCTTTCTTACTTCGGTAGGGCCCTTAAAAAAAATAAAAAAAAATCAATTACATTGAACCAAAAACAGAACTTGATCGCTAGTAACTCAAGATCATAATATCAAGTCCAAATAAGAACCACAAACAACTGCTTTCGGAAACAGAAAGGTAGCTGAAGAAATCAACATATCAACAAGAATAACATACCATTACTATTCCTCTTGCCTAAGTACTTCAATTACTATTGAATGGCTAATGTGCAACAAAGAACTTCCTCATTTGCTTAATTAGGGCACATATCTTAAAACTAGATCTTAGTGTTAAATTCAATACCAGACATTGATTACCATTAAAGGATCCTAAAACAAAGATGATTCAGTGTTACACATCCATCCAAGATTTAGAGTCTGCTCAAGTCCCATCAGAACCATACATGAAATAAGAAAGAAAAAGACAAATGCTTCTTATGAACATCCGAGCAGGTGCTTGAGCAACCCTTTTTCGAACTTAGAACAAAAAGTGAGCGAATCTATATCTGACACCCTAGCCTAACTCAATACGAGATCGAAATAATCTTTCATACTGGACCACTCCATGGGGTTTCAAGATCTTAGTATATACTTGTGCTAAGGAAGAGAGTAGCAAAGTACCAATCTAAAGATTGCCTAAGAGGTAAGTTCAGCAACAGTGTTGTTCCATGAGGGAAGAAGCCACCAGTAAAAGAGTCAGAGGCGCTGCTAATAGTCTAAAGATACATATTGTAATAAGAACCTTTACGGAAAAAAGGCGTAAAGCGAAGACGGTTTTCATCTAATTATCCATAATCAATAATAAATAGAACAACTGAGCTGAACTGAACTCTCACATAAAAATTGACAAGCAAACTGATAATGTAGTTAGATACCAAGGAGCCCCTATATACTCAAGACATACATCATTCCACCACAAAATAGAGAATTGAGTAAAGCGCAACTTAAAAGGATAAACAAGGTTCAGATTCAGAAAATATCAGATAGCACCACCCTAGACATATTAACAAAACCCGCAAGACTGCATAAACGCATAGCAAACTATCTAATGGATCCATTACAGAGTAAGCCAAAATACCTACACAAATTAATAGAACTAGGAGTTGATTGATTACTGAAGATGCTCTGCCTGTTTTTTCTTCACCTTTGAATGCGTCAAAAACACCTCAGTCTCCTCAATCTTCAGTTTCTTCCAAGCCTTCTGATTTTCATCCTCCATTTCCCCCTCCTCAAACAAGTGGTCTGCAGCCGCCAAAGTCCTTTTGTTGAAACCTTTCAACTTGTTCCCATCAAGAAAGACCTCATCCTCTCACTATTTCTTTTGCTCTTGTTTTTCTTTTTTTTTTCAACTTTTTGGATTACGTAACCCCCATCTCCACCTTCTTCTCCTTAACATTTTCATCATTCTCTTTGAGGATATTTTTACCCAAATTTTGGCCGTTTCAATGATGTTCCTTCCAGAGGAGAACCATATTTTTTTTGAGAGCTCAAACAGCATGTCCTCGTGGAGATTCGAGAAGACTGGATCCTCGCCATTTTTGGCCTTCTTGAGGGCATTCAAGTATCTCGTCTTCAACCTATTGACCTTTCTCCTCAGCTGCTCCCTCGAGAACACGACCTTCAGCTTCCCCTCGATGGAATCGTGAACGGCCGTCAGGTCGGCGCTCGGGTCCCGGCCCATGGCGTCCCTGAACGCGATCATTCCTTTCAGCAGGGTCACCTCGTCCTCGTGGATTCGCCGCCTCCACGGTATTCTCCTTCTTCTCGCCCTCGTCGCGGGCGCGTTTGGAAGAGAATTTTGGTGTTTTTGGGACGGACTGCAGCCTTTAGTCGCACAGATCCGAATCAGAATCCGACCCGTTATCCTGGGCAGTGCCTCTGGATTTCGACACCACTTTCATCGCTGGAGGAGGCTGAGTCCGATTGTCGTTCTTACCTGTCTTCTTGCGGGAAGAGGGTTCTCTTGAGGCCATTTTTCGTTCTGTCTTTCACGGCAACGTAAGTAGCGATTGAAGTGAGGAGTTAGGTTGAACTAGGGGATTTCACACAGGGTTTTTATACAGGCCAAACCCGACCCGATACGGATTGGTCTTACACGGACTGGAGCGAACTTTTTTTTTAAAAAAAAAATCCTTTTTAAATATGATAAAAAAACATTAAACTTTTTTTAAGTTTATTTCATCGTTATATATTAGGGCGTCGTTTACTTTGATAGATAGGACAGGATAATTAAAATTGTCCCTCAACGTTTACATTATGAAATTGGGATAGGATTCAACTGATGTGGCGTACATGTGGCAGTGGGACCCACATGCATATCATTTATTGGCAGATTAATTCATCCCACCTCCCCCATCGGATTTTTTAATCCCAATCTGAATATGACGGTTTTGTCCTCAAAAGTGGCTATCAAAAGACAAAATTATCCCTCAACATCTATTTATTTACAATCTTATACCATATAATTTTGCATTTCACTATTTCTCTTGCCCTAATCTTGCAATTCCGCGAGCAGAGGGATCTTGCTATCTTCATCGTCGATTATTTGGCCAAGAATTGTAAGCTCCCATGTCCCAGCCCAAGGCCCAACCAGTGGCTGCAGTTATCCAACAAATTGATTTTCCGGCACCGTCGATGACAGACAGAGAGATGGCTGCGACTGGAAGCTGTAGAACCACCACTTTCTTCCTCCTCTCCGCCCCAAAACCACCGACTCCGCCGCACAAATTCTCCCCGTCACCAAAGCATTTTTACCTCCGTTCTCACAGTTAATTTCCTCTCTCCGCATCAGCCAACCCCAAATTTTTACTTGAAATGACTTTTGGAAAATTCTCTCTCGGCAGTGAAAATAAACAGAGGTGTCTTTGCAAGATTGGTAATGTTTATTTTGAAAATGTTTATTTCTTTGTTTTGGATGCTCTGATTTGGAAATGTTTAATCTTTAATTACTTGAAATGAGTTTTGGATGCTTTGCTTTTGATTATGAATCTTGGGTGTTGTGTTTCAGACTTTCTGTTGCTGAATGAGAGCAATATATTTTAATGGAGTGTTGCATTTTTTTATGAATAGAAGGGCAATTTGGACATCAGGTCTTATTTTTTAATTTAGTCCAACAAAGTAGTTTTTAATCCCAAAATGTAAATACAAGACAAATTGATGACGTGTAAAGTTGGCTGTATTATTTTGTCTAATCCTGTCCATGAAAGTAAATGAGGCCTAGGTTTATAATGTCTAACAATTAATGGTATTTGTAATTTTGTATAATAAAAATAGTTTACATTAAATTATTTTTTAAAGTTTAGTCTATTATTATATTTGAAATGTCTAACAGTTTATGGTATTTTCACAATAAAACTAATTTTTTATTTGAGTATACTAGGTAACTATTACTCATTAAGTTTAATTCATTTAAAATAAAATAATATAATAATAAAAAACCACTGCGTCTTACAAATGACGTGTGAAATATAATACATTTAAACAAAATTGAAATTTCAAATCAATACTTCTATTCATTAATTTTTGAATTTAAATTTAGATTTTCTAGCCTTCGTGTAATACAACATGTGTTGTAATAGTTTAAACTATTTAAACTAAATTTAAATATCCTAGCCTTCGTGTAAGTTTTCATCATTATATCTCAGGGTTCATTTATTAATGCGTAGTAGCACAAAATATAATTTGATGAAATATATTATCTTACATATTTATTATCAATATATGATTGTAAAAATATAATTAAATACAATATTATTTATTTTAAGGTTATTTTATTTATTAGAAGATTAATCAAGTATTTCCTACAATAACATCAAGAAAGATAGTGCATTCTCCAACAATAATCTAAGTCATAAAATGTTACTACATGTATATATAGATGTCAAGATTATTATGTTACCAAAAATATAATATACATGTCAAAATTATTTTATTTAATAAAATATAACCAAGATTATTAATGCACATTATTAAAAAAAAAATTATATAAATATTTATTTTATTGTAGTAAATTTTCATGAATATATATACCATAATCCAACGTAAAACATGGCCTAATTGATTCCTACGTGTCCACACTGGCCAACAAATCTATTGAGATGGCTGAGGAAAGCATTCACTGGCCAAGAAATCTATTGAGATGATGGCTGAGGAAAGCATTCACTGGCCAACAAATCTATTGAGATGGCTGAGGAAATTGAATGTATGCAAGTTTTTAAACAAATCTATTGAGATGGCTGAGGAAAGCATTGAATTGAATGTATGCAAGTTTTTAATTTGAGAGAAATATGATCTATGAAAATATATGATTATTATAAATGTAAAGTAATAAAATAAGTTATTGAGGAAAGCATTGAATTGAATGTATGCAAGTTTTTAATTTGAGAGAAATATGATCTATGAAAATATATGATTATTATAAATGTAAAGTAATAAAATAAGTTTAATAACAATAAATTTCCGAAAAATTGTAAGGTCAGCCATTAGACCATGCATATGAATTTGAATAGCATAAATATCGAACAACACGTACCTAAAGGCTAATAATAATTGTTAATATCCAATTATTTAAAATAAATGAACGGAATCATACGGGATTGTAGTCATCCCCTAACTTTTGTCATGAGCATTCTAACAAAGTGAAGTACGGAAGATTAAAGGGGCAAAAGATCTAGTTAAGAACATTATGGCCAACTTCACACTTCACAGTTTGTAGTAGTTTCAGGGAAAGTTTTTTCACAAATACCTCTTTCCCTCTCTGTACAGAAATGGCAAACTGGTACATAATTAAAAAGATAGTAGTATTAGCACTCAAAAACCTAAAAAGCATTTTTCCGAGGGACATCAGCAACTACACTCACACTAGTATATAACTTGTTCAAGGGCTATGAAAACAAAGGACCTAACAAGTATGCACACGGTTATATACAATGTATAAAAGCCTACTACAGTCGGAATCTTATTTTTATCGCTAATTCACTGGTCCAAACACGACCCAAATGAGTTGCGCTGGATGAATTATTCCAATCGAAAATAGTTCTTCCTCTATTGCCTTATCTTAACCCATTTCGACATGGGGATTGGAAAGTCCTCCATATTCAAGCTGCAAAAATACCAACAAACTGATGAATATGTGACGAAGGAAAAGAAACATTTAGTTGCAAGAACTACTGTCGTTGCATATTCTCATTTCAAACCAATTACCTTTCAGAATTACAGAACAGGAGCTTTATGTTTATTTATCTTCTACATAAACTACGTCCCTATGAGAATAAATATTTCATAAACCGGAGCTGCTTTCAATAGAGCCAAACCTCAAGGCTTGTTTTCGAAAT